ACCCGTCCTAGCAGAGGCCACACATGCTAATAACTCCCCATTTCCATGGCTGGTCAGCTGAACTGGGCAAAAGAAATGAGACCAAGGCCGCGGTTGGAGCTCATGTACATCCGTGAGTCGTCCCCTACCCTCAGGACGCACAGTGACCTCCCGTCTCCAGCTGTGCCTGTCACGTGTGTGTAACTCAACGCAAGGGCAATGATACTATGAGGAAAGAGACACACGCTGGGTCCCCAAACCCAAAGTGCTCTTTTCCGGAAAGATGGTTGGCATCACCTGGGCCCACAAAAGGCAACACCGTCTTTCATTTGTATGTAAAGAATAGAAAGAGAAACGATTATCTCCATTTACCATGAAACGCCCATAGAAAACTTCCAAACTGTTCATCAAAAGGCAATTACTGAAGAAATGAGGAAAACACTGTCAAGGAGCGGGGGAGGGAGGGGGAGGCCAGGAATTATAAAAACCGCTCCTTTTATAAATTTCTGGCAAAGGAAAATAGCTTTGCTACTTAATTCCTCAAAAAAAAGGAAAGAACGTGCAGTGGAAACACACTCACCTACGCAGGGGCGAGGCCTCTGCCCAAAGCCGGGCCCGGCCCTCCTTGCGGCTGCGAGCTCCTGGGACTGCGCGTAAGCCGCCGCCTGCTGGGCGCCCGCCCGCGTCCTTGCCAACTGCAGTCGCAACCCTGGGCTTTATGAACCCTGATGTTTAATCTAATCTTATGTGGAAAGTTAAACACTCACCGGCAGCGGGAACTAACCTTGGCCGGACGGGGCGTGACTGCCTGGAGCGTGGCATTGGGCAGAAGTGTCCGAGGTCCCTCCTCAGGCCCTGTGACGCCAGCTCTGGCTGGGACAATGCCCGGGCACAGGGACCCTCTCCAGGAAAAGTCCGCAGAGCGCACCCTCCCCTGAGGAACCCGAGGGGAGGGAAAGCCCCCCGAGAGCCGAGGTGGATGTGGCCAGCTCCGGCGGTGGGCGGGGGTCCCCGAGAGGCCAGCAGGCTGCGGGGCCAGCGCCTCTGTTCTCGACGCTTCCTCATAACACCAGAGGCTGTCGAAACACTTCCCTCTGGGACAATTTCCAAAGACTTTACAACAACGTTGTCGTCTCATAAAATGGAAACTGGCCACAAGAAAGATGCTTTCTTGGGGAGGAGATGGAAGCAAGTCCGGCAAAGTATATGAAGGCCTAGAAAGAGCCGAACCAACGACTTACCAAAGATGCTTCTCGGTCACGAGGGGGCCTTGCAGCTGGGCGGCGTTGGGTCCTCAAGAGCTGACGCCTGCTGAGTGCTGAGCACGCGCCAGGTGCTCCTCAGGTGCTTCTGTTGTGTTATGTTAGGAAATCGACTCCGGGCACAGAGGGGTCACAAGGTCAGGGCGAGGTGGAGCTAAAGCCAGGGTTTGAATCTAATCCTGAAGTTCCCCTCCAGCAAGATCACTTCAAGGTCATGGGGGGGGCACTGCTCTGGGCGGGAGCTGCCTGAAGGAGACTCTGCCTAACAATGGGATTTTCTCATTCAGTGGTGCTTTGGGCCATGTGGGTTGAAGTCCCCTGGGGGGGGCGCAGAGGAAGGTGGCTGGGATTTAAAATTGTCTGCACCTCGTAGTAGTTCTCATATCGGCTGCCTTGTAAACAAATACAAGGGTCTCTGTCACTCCGCACCAGCTTCTCGTGACTCCATTGTCCTGGTGGACGCCCTTCACCCGGCAGGATGAGGCAAACCCGGCCCGAAAGGACGGCTTTGATGGTCCCGGGGCTGAAAGGGTCATTCAAAGGGCTCCCGGGGAACCCGCTGGGGGGACGGCGCTGTGCCCTGTTTCCCCGACAGGCATTGGCCCCTGGGCCCCTGCAGAAGGCTCCCAGTGGGTCACTCAGCATTGTCCCCCACGGCAGGGCGGAACAGTACCCGCGGCAGCCAGCGTTCCCTGAGAGGCCCCGGCGGCAGCCCCGTTCACAGAGCGCCTCTGCCTCACACGGACACGCTCTCAAATCCCAGGGAGCCGGGTCCGCATTTGGGTTTGAAACGGGATGTTAGCGGTCGACATCCAGCACCGACAAAGCCCCAGATTCCTCCGAAGAGGAGCCTGCTTAGAACCGAGCCTGCCTTCCACACTGTCCATGCGGCTGTCCTTGGGGTCCCCTGGGGATGCAAACCCACAGCCAAGGGGACCCCCTCCGTAGAGCGCACCCGCTAATGACAGGTGACGGGATGCAGAGCGCGGGGTGGCCGTCTTTGGAGATCTCGCTGCCTCGAGCTGACCCTGCTGGGAGACATCCTGCAGAGCCTGCCTCTATTGACCCCCTGTCCCGTAGGGGACTCCGCACCCCCCTTCCTCCGCCTCAGCTCCCAACATGATTACATCACAGTTGAGGGCCAGTCCAGCTTCGGAGCTCGNCCGCACCCCCCTTCCTCCGCCTCAGCTCCCAACATGATTACATCACAGTTGAGGGGCAGTCCAGCTTCAGACCTCCCCGTTGCGATGGCAGAAATGTCCCTGGATGACCCACGGAGCCAGCGGTAATTACATCTCTCTTTTCTTTTTTTTTCATTCTTACTTCGCTGTCTTTGAGCCCAGGCCTATACCCCGCAAGGGCCGGACATCCCTATTCCTTAGGGAAATAAACGGAACTTGCAGCCACCACGAGATCCCGCTACGCACCTACTGGAGTCGCTAGATTTTTAAAAGTCCAACACCACCAAGCGTTGGCGAGAACGAGGAACAGCTGAAGCCCCATGCCCTGCGCTGGGACGTAAGACGGGACAACCACCTGGAGGCAGTGTCGCAGCTCCTCGGAAAGTTACAATAGTCCCATTTCTAGGCATTTACCCAAGATAATTGAAGAAGGTATGTTCACACAGAGATGCACACACAAGTGTTCAAAGCAGCGTTGTTGATAATATCTAAAAACCAGGAATAAGCTAAATATCATTCAACGGATACGTGCAAAAACAAATGCAGCACAGCTACCAAGAGAGCGTCCCCGGCGAGGGAAGGGAACAAACTAGGGGTACACGTGACAACGCGGAGGACTCTCAAAAACATCTGAGCGAAGGTCAGACGCAGGAGATTATGCTCTTAATTCCACTTCTAGAAATTCCAGAAAGGACAGAAGTAACGGAAATCTCTAATGATGGAAAGTAGATCAGCTGTTTCCTGGGGGGGGGCGGTTGAGAGAGAGGTTTTTTGAGTAACTGAGTCTTTTTAGGCCTTGATTGTGGTGGTGGTTACCTGGGCGTACACATTTGTCAAAACGCATCAAACTGTACGCTTTAAATGGGTGCGTGTAATTTCATGTAAGCTATTCCACAATAAAGTGGACTTCTTAAAAGTCCGTGTTTATAGAGGTGACCTGTAAATTTAAACTCCCAGCCCACGCCTCTCTGCTAGCCTCCAGGCTCAAGCGTCCACATGCTCACTTGACGTTTCCATTACACATACGCCGTGGAATACTATTCAGCCTTTAAAAAGGAGGCAATTCTGCGACATGTGACCACACGGCTGAACCTTGAGGACTTCATGCTGAGCCAGTCACAGAAAGAAAATGCTGCACGGCCGTTATGAGGGCTGCCTCAAATAGCCAGATTCAGAGACTCGGGGCGCGGAATGGCGGGTGCCGGGGGCTGGGGGAGGGGAAAATGAGGCGTTCCCGATCAACAGCCATAAACTTGCAGTTAGGCATCTGTCCGCAACAATGTATCCGTAGCCAGCAACACTGTACTGCGCAGAGGAAAGAATTTGCTTCAGGCGGGGCCCCTCGAGGGGAGAGCGCAGCTTTCTGAGTGTCCAGAAAACGGATGGCTGGGAACCTGCTGTGCCCTCTGAAGCACTGATGACCGCTTGTGAGCTCATGGTCCTTCGAGCCCGAAGGGCAGGGTGTTTCTAAGAGGTTCTCCTCTGCGAGGGCCGGAGAAAGAAAATCTAGACCAGAGGCTGCAGTGCTCAGAACGGCCACGCTGCGTCCCCACAGCACCGCGAAGCCGCCTGGCTCCGGCCTCGGAGCCGCGGGGTCAGCCGGGAAGGCTCACCGGCCGCCTGAGCTCTCCTCACCGCCGCTCCCACCGCCACCAGCCCGGAGCAGCCTCTGGGCTCATTTCTTTTTTAATTTGTATCTTAGGGAGTGATGGATACAACCGGTCTATACATTTCTCTTTATTATTTTCATTTGGAAGTCATTTTAGACTCAGAGGAGGTTGCAAACACGTGAAGCCCCGTGTACCTTCCCTGGGCGTCTTTCCCCCGATGGTGACATCTTACAGTATGAAATCGAACCCGGGACATGGACTTCGACGCAATGCTGTTGACTAGATCACGGAGCTTATTCAGGTTTTGTTTTCACCTGCACTCCTGTGTGTGTGTGAGCGTGCGTGTGGTTTGGCGCAGTTTCATCTGATGGGTAGATTTGCGGAATCACCACCATCACCACCAAAGTACAGAACCACCCCCTCGCCCGTCACTGAGGCCCCCCCACAGTCCCCTGCACCTTGCACCCTCTCTCCTGTCCCTGTGCCCGCTGCCCTCTCTGGAAACCTGCCACCGTGAGCATGTTCCATAGATGGGGCTACACAGGCTGCAACCTTTCAAGCCTGGCTCCTCCCCACTCAGCACAACGCCCGCGAGATCCACCCAGGTTCCCGCGTCGACGGCCGGCTTTCCTGTCGTTGAGCGGCACTCGCTCCACGGATGCCTAACCTTCGCCGCTGCAGGACCCTGGAGCTGTTTCCAGGGTTTTGCTGTTGTGAGTAGAGCTGCTCTCAACACTCATGTACGAGTTTTAGCATGAACATAAGTTTTCATTTTTCTGGGAAAAATGCTCAGGAGTGCAATCGCTGGTCCCATGCACTCGTAAGTTTACTTTTATAGAAATTGTCCAATTAGCTTCCAGAGGGGCTGTACCAGTTTACGTTCCCACCAGCAATGAGGGGAAAGTCCAGTTTCTCCGTGTTTCATACCCGCGGTTACGAGCCCCTAGGACTCTAGCATGTTAGAACCACACGGGGCCTTGAGGATGATCCAGTCCCGCCAGTGAGTGACACAGGGAGGAACCGGGATGCCGAGGGGCGACCTGGCCAGCACTTCTCGCTCCCTCCGGCCCTCCTGCTGTTGTTACCACCTTCCCTGTTCGCGCTCTCGGGCAGAACTGAGTCCTCTCGGTGACGTCTCCGGAGCACTGTCAAAGGCTGGGCAGCACCTAAGAGCCTCGTTCAGTCCTGGAGGTAAGCTTTGCCCAGGAAGCACGACCTTGAGCATTCTGCCCTTGGCCTGACCGGGCTCCCTCCGGGCTCTCGGGTTCCTGCGCGGCCCGCGGGCACCGCAGCGTGGCCTTCTCCGGGAACTGCTGACAGCACCCAAGTTCAAGTGCAATCTGAAGCGGCAGCCAGCTCTCCCAGGCTCCCCGCCGCCCCTCAACAGTGTCAACAGCGACGCTGCAAGCTCGGCTCCTCCCGTTCACTGAGCACCTACGACGTGCCGGGCCAGGTGTCAGGCACCTCATGGACCAAGCCTCTGGTATTTATGGTACAAGGAGCCCCGTCTGACAGGTGAGCAACGCTGGGCCCAAACAGTCATAACCTCAGACTCAAAAGCTTTAGAGTAAAAGAACCGTCTCCAGGGCGTTCTATTCACAGCCGCTCAGCCCACAAAATGCAGGAGCCTGGTCGGCGGTGAGACAGTGGCCTTTGCTGTCGTTTTCTGAGCTGACACCAGGTGGCGCCAAAGCCGAGCTGCCTCTTGGCAGGACCCCCAGGCCCCGGCACAGCGCTGGGCCGACTCCCCGGTCAGGGTGCCCGCGTCCAACTCGGCCGGACCGTTTCCAGCATGTTTAGCTCTTTATTAAAAGAGCAGACATCTTTGCCTTCTTAAAAACCAACTCACCAAATTCTAACATCTGCCCGCATTTCTAAGAGGGTTACCCTTTCCAGCGACAAGAAATACAACCCCTAGGTAGAACGGAGAACCTTTTTCCTGGACGCCGATTGTTTTAAAGGGCTGCTTATTTTAACCTCGACTTTCCCATAAGCAGGTGCTCCTGAAGAAGAGAGAACTGCCCCAGGCCCTGCAGCAGCGCCAGGGACGAAAAGCCGCGAATCTTTGCGGCCCCCTTTAGACGCACCCGTAGCTTTGTCCGCCACTGAGCTGGTCTGAGAATGTTTTAGGGACGGAAGCCCCTTGTTTGGCCCGTCGGTGCCTGAGTCCCCAGACCCCACTCATTTCCCTGTTTCTCTCTACGAGGGTCAGTTATCTCCTGCCTCTGCGTGCCCCCCTGTCCGGGTTGGTG